AGCCAACCGTCTTTAAAATAAAAGAATGGAAGCATAGTGAATGAAAGTATAGTCGGTTGAGAAAAAGTCTGTGATACACAGAGCCCAGAAGGGAGGGGGGTCCGCAGGGTACTGCCTTATATAAGCTGTATCGGTATGTGCAGCCCTTCCTTTTGAAATTGGGTATTGAATTTAATCGTGTGGATATAAAATACGGTAAGGTTTTGTGTTCTTTCAAATCCAGCTCTCTTAACAACATATAGCGCACACCCTACCCCCACCAGAACTGACCAGGACAGCCCCCCCTCCCCGGAACATAGAGAAAAGCTTATGCAAATTACTGACAGGCAACGACTGCTTTCTGTAAAATATCTGTTCGGAGAAGCAAAAATTGCCTAGAATTTTCTATAGCTTGAGGAATGCTAAAAATTTCTAGATGACTACTAATTTTAGAAGCTTATTTAAGTAAATTTTCCTACGCCCAGTTTAAGCTATATTTCGTAGAAACAGGAAACCTAAAATTTTCGGATTCGAAAATGCGATGGAGAGAGGAATCAGAAGAATTCTCAGTTTCGTAAAACTTTAAATGGCATTTGGAATTTTCTGGAAAATAATACTGAAGCCTTTATAATCATTTCGAAAAGACTCAAGTTGCTCTTGGATGACCGAACAGGTACCGTATTTTTATAGCGCCGCTAAAAATGCCGGCTTTCTAGAGATCTAAAGGTACTAGATAGCCTAAAAAGTGTTTACAATACCTTTAGCAGGAAACCGTCGTTGGGTGTCCTTGAAATTATTTATAGAGTTTGCGATTCAGTGACATTTTTAAATCGAGCCCATTATTGATAATGCCCATCTACTGAAACCAATATCCCCGGGTGGGTTTTAGGTATACATATTGGATCTCTATTATGAGTTCTGTTTTTAACTGCAGTTCAGTTAGAATGTTAGTTATCGTACTATCGAACAAGGTATCGAACACGATACGGAGTGACGGCCCCAGTGGCTTGTATGGTGCATTAACTACAACTTTAGGATCATCTTCGTCGACAGTTCAAAATGCCGATAATGTCAGACGTGGAAAGAAAAAACAAGTTTTTGCTTTGCTTTGTTTTGATTTTTTTTTCACAGAAGTAAGGGTTACTTTAAATATTGCGACCAGTTAAGTGAAATTCCTAAAGCAGTGACCCAGTTCCCTTGGCAACACCGTCGCACCTCGGAATCACTAAGCTATAGAAGTTAACTTTGTTCTCAAATTGACGGTCTCGGGGTATTTTCTAGTCGCAATTTCTTAGATAGTAATGAAAATAATTTCTATGAGTGATAGCTTACCAATAAGGTATTGTTAACAAGTCCTTGCAGGTGTGCGCGAATGATCAGGTTCATCTGAGCCGAACTATTTCCATTTACTGCAGTGGGTACAGGAAAGCTATTTTTCCTCATCTGAAAAGTTTGCAAAAATGTTGACATTGTAAGAAGGGTTTTTAATGTTTATAGCCATGGCATTCTCCGCATTCCTTAAGCCGTATTTCACTTCCAGTAAAAGTTGTGATAGACTATAAGAACTGAAGGCGCTTTTTTAAAACAATAAAACCTCCCTTAAGCGACTACCCAAAATGCGAAGAGTTAGTGGTCTCTTACGAGAATCGGGCCACAGGCGGTCCCTTCCAAGGGGAGATCTCGATACATATACTTTTTGGTAGATAATCAATCGCACATGTGTATAGTTCCGCTTTCTCGTTATAGACTCTTCACAATGTCTGAGTAGCGCACTGCACACAGTGAACATAGAGATCAAACCATGAGTCAAGCGGTCGCGTACAAGAGGTTAAAAAAAATGGACAATTATAAAACTGTCAGCCCAAAAAGTGGTCGCGGCCCTGGGCCCGGGGGTCACAGTAGCTCACAAGATGTGATCGGTTACGAGTGGTTCAAACTTTGACTGGAAAAATTTTGTCATTTGTATAGATGGTAGCTTATGGGAGGTAGTCGCTCACGAGTGGTGGGCGCACATGGAGGTTTGACTGTCTATACTTGGATGTTTGGCATATTTGTCATATATAGAAAAGGTATGAGGTGACGTAAGAACAGCAAGGGAGGCTCAAGACTACAAATGATTAAGGGTACTAAATTTTTCTCTGGGGTTTCATTTTTGCCTTTTGTCAAAACCTTCGCTATCCACGAATCAGTGAGTTTGGGAAAGCTATTCATGATTTTTTCTATTATTATTTTTTTTCCTTTAATACAGTGAAATTTCTGGCTATATTCGTTACCTCACTACTGATCAGGAAGGATGAAGCATTGACGTCAGTGCTTATATCCCAGAGCACCTGAGCCAGGAGACTGTGCAGTGGTCCTTGGTTTTCTTCATAAGATAAGGCCATGTACAGAGGACTTCTGAAGATATCCAACTTCTCGTACGCGATAGTTAGATTGTCTTTTAAATTCTGCAGACAGAAAAAAAGTATTGATAAGCATTATTACTTATAAAGGGTCCAGAACTGTATAAATTTTATTCGCTATTTTTGTGGCAAAAACACGTATTTAAGCAAACGCGTCAATAAATAAATAAATAAATACATAAACATCAAAGAGCAAAGAAGAGATTTGCTACTTTTTCGCAATTCCTTTCAATTGATAGCACGTAGATGACGTGATTGTACGAATCCTCTATTGATAACCTGATACTACAATACTCATGATTTCATGAAATGTATCAAACACGAGACTGACTGTTTTAACAAATATGAAGCAGTGAAAAGGAGCTGATCATGAAAACTAGTAAGACGTCTTGAAGGTTAATTTAGACGAATTTTTATTAGCTTGGAATTATTTTAAAACATCTTAAAGTGTTTGACTTGCGCAAATGATTTGCAAGGACTGAACGTTTGGGATCGAAAAAAAGTTTTATTTGTGGTTTGAATTTTTGATCCCCAAATGAAGTAAAAAGTGTCGCAGTACTAACATATTAGAGGTTTAGCAACAGTACGTTAAATACTTAAACAGTAGGGGGGTTGAAAGTCTGAGTAGATACCTTATTTGATGTGCACGATTGTGTGTTGACTTGTGGTGGAAACTGGCTGAAAGGGGGCTCCTGGAGATAACTTGTCGAGGCAATGAACTGATAAAGACTTTTCATCTGAAAAAAGTAATTAAAGAGAGAAATATTCTCAATTTCAAAAAATTGTTGAAGGGTACCTAAAAAATCAACAACCAGAACAACAACAACAAAACTATATTTTCCCTGCCAGTGGCTAGGAGTGACAGTTGACAAAAATCAGAAACAAATAACCGTCTTGTATAAACACGACAAAGATTTTCTTCAACATATTTCCTAAAACAAGAGAGTTTTGTTTAAGCCCGTTCGTTCCTGGACTTTTCGTGAAAAAACTGACGCCTTTTGAAAGATATACTAAAGCCGTTTTCTGGTTTTAGTTGAGACGAAAACAAGAAAGTCAAAGATTTAAAGAACCAAATGATTAAACCATGCAATCTCTGTTTTCAATCTAGAAACTGCACTGAGTTTCTAATTTGAAACTAAAGGTTTTGGAATTTTTTTGAGGCGTACAACTGAAGAAATCTCATCCGGGTATACTTTGAAAAAGAAAATTAGTTTGAGCTGCACAAGTTGTGCCCAAGTTGTGTGGTATCTGTTTATGGTCATTAAAATAAGAGAATAAGAATAAGCGTTAATCATATAACATGTCTTAAAGTATGCTTTTCCACTTGCAATTTTCAATCACGTTACTTCTAGTTTTAGTAATGCGTCATGACATCGGGAAACTCGTAAGCACGGCAGTTTTGTATCACATAATTGATAGACCCTTACAAACTTGGTGACCGCAAATGCGCTCTAGCTAGGATCACGATGTGCAATGAACCTGAAATGATTAACCCTGATGCAAAATTTTAATTCTCGTTTGTTGTCACATCGCATTTCCCTCAGACGTAATAGGGAGAAGTTGTTTAAGTATCAGGTTAATTCATTCTTCTGTGATCAGGTCCTTAATTCTTGTGACCACTTTGTTTCCGCCTATAAAGTAGAGATATAACAGGACGAAATTTGATGCTGAACACTCTAATAAGGTCCTAAAGGGTTAAAATTTTTAAGTTTGCAATTTACCGACTTCTTGAAAAACACATTTGATGCTTCTCAACTGGATTTATTTCACAGCTCTCTCTCAGCTAAGATCTTGAGTTTATTTATTTATCTCTTTTTTTGGAGCCTGTGTTATTCACCGGTGAGTGAACTTTGATAATTCTCGCGTAGTTTACACGAAAACGTTAGAGGACTTTAGTGATACGGCCCTCGTTTCTCATGGTATGGTAATAAAACTCCCTACTGGCTTCTTAGACTCAAGATTAGTCCGAAGTGTGGAGCGTTTGCTTTCCGAAGAGGGTGTCATCATAAGATTGCACAAGTGTACAATGTCATTAGGAAGTAATAAAGGGGGACTGAAGAAAAAAATACAGATGATAGTTTTAATAGCATTTTATTGTTAATTTAACAACAAGAAGCTTACAATAAATTATAGTCGTTAAAACATCTGTGACAGATTACAGTATAAACTGACCATGGTCAGCTACAAACAATGATCTCAATATGGACTTTGTCGTTAAACTCAGATAACTAAGCTACTTCGTGCTGTAAATGACTTCATAAAAATTGAAGTTACTATAATTTAGTCGACAAGGGCATGCAAGATAAGCGGGAAAAATGCGGTCAAGAATAGTACAGTGAATCTACAGACTCATCAACTTATTCCTTTTTAAGTAACATTAAGGTCATTAAGCTAGACAGAAGACTACTTAGAAATGATTGGACCTCTCAGAGATCATTTCATTTCTGCAATTCAGACATGAGCTTAAACGCTTCTTATTTTAAATAACATTAAAGGTGCTTTTTAAATAGAATTATCAAATTTTTTCCAAACGTAGTCTTATGGATTCCTTCATAAGTAATAAATAATAATGACGTCCTATTTTTGTAATCCACGGTGCAACGCAATCTATTTTTTCCTTCATAAATTGTACACACAAACGGCGGCCTCCTTAATGACGCCACTTAGCGAGTGGAGTACGACGTAATTCCTGTAAATCGTCACCTTGTCATCGGTAATCGGGCCTTTCTGTAAAAAAGAAGGGATTTCATTTCAGACATTTTTGAAGACATTTTTTTTCATCTCAGCCAAAGGCGATAAAGCATACATTAGCATGAATAATCAACAGGTCCCTGTCCCAGGCCTAGGGAGAGGGGGGTGGGGGTTACTCCCATATTTAAAGGCCACACACTGAGCTGAGCCGAAATTATTACTAGTTTTCTAAGGAATGTTTTTCCATACTTGGATTTCTGAAAGAAAGACATTAGATGATTCTATCAAAAGAAAACCATAGCATGATCGTTTTTTGGTTTTTTTTTTTGACAACTCAGGAGCTTTACTTGAAAAAGGTGGCCCAATTTTATCAAGTTGCGATCCGTCTCCATCCTGGCCATAGAAAATCATTTCATACTGACTTTTAGTTCCAGTACAGTAGGAGAGTGATTTTGAATAAAAAGGAACCATTATTTCAGGATCTTTTCGATCCCAATGTCTTTTTAGGGCCGGGTTTTAAAGTAATAATAGTTGTATTATGTGATAGCTTACCAGCAAGTTGATATTAACAAGGGCTTGGAGATATACGCGAATATCTCGGTTCATCTGCGCCGTAGAATTTCCGTATGCAGTAGTGGGTACAGGAAAGCCTTTGTTTTGCATCTGAAAAGTTTGTAAAAAATCAAGTTGTTAATGGAAAGTGTGTCTTTTATACTTAATGCGCCTACCATGCAGCCTGTGTACCGAGGAGGGGGTGTCTGTGCACAGGCTACTTAACATGCTACATTTCCTAAAACTATTTCATTTGGAGTAGGTTTGAGAAGTGTAAATTCAGCTGTAAATACTAGTGTATTGAATTCAATAGATCAGTATTATATTCTTATGTTTAATAGATTCTTTATTTCAGTGCCCAGTTGTTCGAAAGGTTGATAACGCTATCCACTGGATAAATCTCTATCCAGTGGATAGCACAATTGGTTTCCCTAAAACTTATCTTCGGGAGAATGATTTATCCGATGGATCGCGCTATCCAACGTTTGAACAAATGGGGCCAGTAGTATTCTTAAGAAGCTACTTCTGACTTTCTTAGGCTGCAAAACACGACCAGTGGCTTTTGTGATCGATACGGAACAGAGAAATTTGGGAACAAATAAGCATGATTTAACCCCTCTATCTTCCGTGCTAAGATAGCTGGGGAAAGAGGTAAAAAGAAAGCGCGCGAGGGACGATGGGAAGGTAAAGAGAAACAGAGCTCCCTCTTTCCATCGTCCTCCGCGGGCTTCTTACTTTTGCTTTACAGTGGAACCTCGATAAACGAACCTCTAGGTGCGGAGTCCTCGCTGTAACGAATGATATTCTTCGCCCCAGCAATAGTACAATATATGAAAAAAAAATTCGATATAACGAACCCTCTCACAAATTTTCCAGTCCTTGTATAACGCTTTCTTTTGGAATATCGATAAGAGCCTCTGTGGCGGAGGGTGAAATTTCCGCAAGTTTATTTTACTCTGAAAGCAGTTAAAATTAGCTTCTTATTAGTACCTCACGACTGAGCATCACAGTTGAAGCATTGACGTAAGTGCTTATGTCCCAGAGCACCTGAGCCAGCGAATTGTGCAGCGGCCCTTGGTTTTCTTCATAAGATAAGGCCATGTACAGTGGACTTTTGAAGATATCCATCTTCTCGTAGGCGATTGTTGCATTGTCTTTCAATAGCTGCAGACAGAGGGTTGTTATATTAAAATGCACATCTTACAGAGAGTCTAGAACTGTATAACTTATTCAATATTTTATTGCATGCAAAAACTTTCAAACGCCCTTCAATAAAGGCTTGAAACCTCCTTAAACTGGGAATATAACTTTCTGGATATCAAACAAACAAACAAACAAACTGTTTATAAGTACATATATAGCTGAGATAGAAGTTCCAATGGTACCTGATTTGATGTGCAAGATTGTGTGTTGATTTGTGGTGGAAATTTCGCGAAAGGTGGCTCTTTAAGATAGCTTGTCGATGTGATGAACTGATAAAGGTTTTTCATCTGAAAAAAAAAATAAGAATAAGGATAAGAATAAGAGAGACAAATGTTATCAATTTGCGATGCTATTTTCTACAGAAAACTAAACGGAGAAAAAAGTTGTAGTCAAGGTTTATGAAGGTTGAGAAGTCAGTGAGGCTAGCACAAACGGTCTTTCTTCAAAAAAGACAAATATTAAAGGGTTTAGTTTTTTTGTTTGTCTCACAATTGTCACTTTGATATCGATCGCGACGTTTCGACCGCACACTGCAGGTTTTCATCATCGCCTGATGAAGACCTGTAATGTGTGGTCGAAACGTCGCGATCAATATCGTGAGACGAACGATAAAAGCTGAACCCTTTATACGCATTATCCACGATGGTTAATATCTTTCATGACAAGACCGAAAAAGAAAAGTATGCTGGAAAAAATATTTGGCAAATGTTTTTTCCAACATACTTTTCTATATATAAAACCATTCAGGCCTAGACGTATCTCCAAAAAAACCGTTGCAAGCTATACTTAGAGACGGACCATTAGAAAACTTATGGGGGGGGGCGAAGTACAAAAAAAATATTCGCGCAAGGGAAAATTAAAGGAAAAAAAATCATGCACGCCAATTAACACTAAAAATATTCATGCAATGGCCTAAAATTCCTGCGGCTCGAAAATTCCCTCCCCTCCCCCCATAACTTTTCTAATGGTCCGTCCCTTAGAGGGGCTATCCAGTCACCAGGATATTGTGGCGGGTTTAGGTCAATTCTGTGCTGAAGTCATTACTTAGAGCACTCTTTGTGACCCGTACACAAAATGCTCCTATAAAGTTATGAAGAAGATTTCTCAAACTCATTAATAATTCATAGAGAAAATTCAAAGGAAATTAATGTTTAATGAGTGTTTGGATATCAGATGAAAAAGCTTTTTTGTTCATCAAACATTCGATCACCAGATGAAACACCTTAAAGTTCGTCAAAAATACTAAGTGTTTCATCTTTTCTTTAGTTTGATATATTACATCAAACATCTTTCATTTTTCCGGGATAACTAAGCATTTTTCTTTAGTGATGCATAGCATTGAATCTAGAAAAAAAAGTTGGCCCAGCCTTTTTCCCGTCTTAATCCATGACCTTCCTTGCCATCCATTGCAATAGACGAGAGGAGACAGTTTTTATGCCTAAACATAGTCTTCGATAATAAAACTGGACTATTTTTTTCGAATAAAATTGATGCCAAAAAATTTTTCGCTTTTTAAAAAGATAGCAGAGTGTGTGACATAGCCCGTTTAAGCCGTTTTCTGGTCATGTTCGAACAACAACAACAACAAAAAAGAAACAAAACTAACCCAATCTTTATTTACAATTCCATAACTACGCTCTTTCGCTTTTCGTGGTGTGAAAATACAGCTAGTTTTTTTGCTTGCCTATTTCTTCACTCTTACTGTTTTTTAACTTTGTTTGTGGGAAAGGCCTTCGCGCAATTACCGAAGAACATACCTCTTGTGTGGCGTTGGCGGTTTTCTGCGGAATCAGATAAGTGACAAGACTTTGTAGCGTACTTGGTGTTGAATACATTGGAGCACCTAGACTTTGTGACCTCAATGTTGACGCAATAATGGTAGTGATAAGGATCTTTAGGAGTTCCATTTTGCTCTGTAAAAGAGGATAGAATACAAATATAAAAAGACATTAAAAATTCGGAATATGTTTTAAAAAATAGGTACACGCATATCAGTGTATTTTCTCCCTACATGAAAGCGAGTGTATCCATTTGCGTCTAAAAACGTAGGCTAATAGAGAAATAGAGTGATGACGTCACAAAAACTAAGTTCGTGAAATTACGGGATGGGTTGGTATATCCAGAAAGAATAAGATGAAAAATTTTTACTTGCTTAAAATCAGCTTGTTATTGCAAATTTTCGGGAGGATGTAAGTATTGTTATCCTGCAATCACTCATGGAGTTATCAAAATCTATGTCATTAGAGGGTAAGAGGGCGCTGTTACCCACGAATGTTGACCGACGACCACCGTTACAGCGAGGTTTAATGAATTTTCAGCTTCAAAATTTCCACCTGGTTCCTCGGGAAACAGTTAATTTTGTTTCCCGAGAATCTCAGGGCCAGTTACTTAAACGGAGTTTATATTAGCCAGTGTTTAACAAAACCGCGTTCTAAGTCATTTTCAGTTCGACAATACTTCTATCTAAACACCATTTATTGTGAAAAGATTCATGAAATCATAAGGCGTAGACTGGAAAAGCACTTATTTTGTTAAAATTACCCACTAAGGAAGATATCTCGAGGTCCAAAGATTTGCTAAACCGCGGTCTAGAGCAGACTATGTTTAAATAACCCGACCCACATTTTTTTCCGAGGCGGAAACATTGAGATTCGAGGGAAGCAAAATTAACTGTTTCCCGAGGGACCAGTAATTAAATGTTTATTGTTTAATGAAATATTTTGATGGAATATACGAGCAGAGCCCAACATATAAGAACAAACAGAGAAACTGTTTAGCCGAATAGTAGTGCGCGTAATTTCAATCGCATATGCACACAGGGTACCCAGAATAATTTAGCGCGCAGAGATACATAGCGTAAAATGACATTTTACTTACCTTTCACTCAGTTGATTTTAGGTTAACTTCTTTGCAGTGAGAGGTTGTTTGACTGAGAGTTAAACCCTTGGTCCTCCTTATATGCCAACCGCAGAGGAAGACGTAACCCGTCTTCCATCATTTTCTGTAAGGGTGAATTTTGATTTATTCCTGTGATAAATCTTTCCCTAGTCGATTTACTTCCAATCATATCATATTCTGGGAAATATTCTTTCCTACCATCACATATGGTATATTCTGTAATGCTGTATAGATATAGATTATATGGACTCCGGAATGGGTGGTGTTACCGACTACAAAACTAGTTCGGTCAGTGGAAGATGTAACTCAATGCAGCGTCGCATCATCATTTTTCGGTAAGGGTAAATTGTCTGGGTTTATTCTTGTAACACATCTTTCCCTGGCTGAAATACTTTTGAAAAATCATGTTATATTCTCAGACGTATTCCGCTGTAGTATCGCGTGTCGTTAAACAGAAAACATTCAATAATTTTTCTGTCCAAAAGGAAACTTATTTAAGAACACATTACTTCTGCTTCAATACCGGAAAGTTCGTTTAATGAAAGATAACTTATTTTGAGATTTTTTCTTAAAATTTACCCTTCCTTTCTTCTAAATAATATACTAATAGCTCCTCTTTTAATTTCTTGTAATTTCGTCCGTAATGTATCTCAATCCTTGGGCGAAGTATCAGGGGAATTTACGTTGTCCTTTAAATCCAAACTGAAAGTTTTTGAACGGAAGATTGAACACTCGTCGAAGGTAACGTAAAAATCTCGACTTGTCACAGCAAGTCAAATTCCTTTTAAGTATATTATCAGGAAATGCCACTAGATATGATATTCGATATCTGTCTGAGAACATTCCGTTTTGCTTAACTGACGTAATAATGAGCTTTATCGAGGAAACGAATTGAGCGCGAAAAACTGTTTTAGAGCTTCTGTTTAGCTATAAAGAAATGTCCTTGAATTATGCAAAGCAAGCTTTCTTGCGCAAAGCCAACCGTCTTTAAAATAAAAGAATGGAAGCATAGTGAATGAAAGTATAGTCGGTTGAGCAACAGTCTGTGATACACAGAGCCCATAAGGGAGGGGGGTCAGCAGGGTACTGCCTTATATAAGCTGTATCGGTATGTGCAGCCCTTCCTTTTGAAATTGGGTATTGAATTTAATCGTGTGGATGTAAAATACGGTAAGGTTTTGTGTTCTTTCAAACCCAGCTCTCTTAACAACATATAGCGCACACCCTACTCCCGCCAGAACTGACCAGGACAACCCCCCCTCCCCGGAACATAGAGAAAAGCTTATGCAAATTACTGACAGGCAACGACTGCTTTCTGTAAAATATCTGTTCGGAGAAGCAAAAATTGCCTAGAATTTTCTATAGCTTGATGAATGCTAAAAATTTCTAGATGACTACTAATTTTAGAAGCTTATTTAAGTAAATTTTCCTACGCCCAGTTTAAGCTATATTTCGTAGAAAAAGGAAACATAAAATTTTCGGATTCGAAAAGGCGATGGAGAGAGGAATCAGAAGAATTCTCAGTTTCGTAAAACTTTAAATGGCATTTGGAATTTTCTGGAAAATAATACTGAAGCCTTTATAATAATTGCGAAAAGACTCAAGTTGCTCTTGGATGAAAAACAGGTACCGTATTTTTATAGCGCCGCTAAAAATGCCGGCTTTCTAGAGATCTAAAGGTACTAGATAGCCTAAAAAGTGTTTACAATACCTTTAGCAGGAAACCGTCGTTGGGTGTCCTTGAAATTATTTATAGAGTTTGCGATTCAGTGACATTTTTAAATCGAGCCCATTATTGATAATGCCCGTCTACTGAAACCAATATCCCCGGATGGGTTGTAGGTATACATATTGGATCTCTATTATGAGTTCTGTTTTTAACTGCAGTTCAGTTAGAATGTTAGTTATCGTACTATCGAACAAGGTATCGAACACGATACGGAGTGACGGCCCCAGTGGCTTGTATGGTGCATTAACTACAACTTTAGGATCATCTTCGTCGACAGTTCAAAATGCCGATAATGTCAGACGTGGAAAGAAAAAACAAGAGATCTATTTCTGAGATGTTTTGTTATGGCAAGATTCCGAACAGGAACCAATTCTCCAGCTACATTGCTAAACATAGGTTAATGTCTTCCTGTTGATATTCCGAAACTTTGTGCTTAAGATAAATGTTGATTTTAACTCTGAGCTATATTGAAACAAACAAACAAACAAAACAGAAATAAAGCAAAGCAAGCAGACGAGGCGTCCGAATATCCGTAAAGGATTGTTTAGTTTAAAAGTAAAAGCATTCTAACAGCACGTCTACGAAAAAAAAATCCTGAACATCAGAAGTTTAAGAGTTACGATGTTCTTCAGCTTGGAATCTAACTTTTTAACTGAAAAG